CGGTTTGACAGACACTATGAATTAGCTTTTTAGTTAGAATAAGACTGACAATTTGAGTGACAATATGACTGACGGTTTGACACACACTATGAATTAGCTTTTTAGTTAGAATATGACTGACGGTTTGACAGCCTCTATGACTTACGGTTTTATTTAGAATATAACTGAGAGTTTGGGTGACAATATGACTCATAGTTTAAGAGAGTGTATGACTGATGATTTTAGTGAGAATAAGACTGATAGTTTGGGTGACAATATGACTCATAGTTTAAGAGAGTGTATGACTGATGGTTTTAGTGAGAATAAGACTGAGAGTTTGGGTGACAATATGACTGACGGTTTGAGTGACAATATGACTGACGGTTTGAGTGACAATATGAATTACGGTTTTAGTGAGAATAAGACTGATAGTTTGGATGACAATATGACTGACGGTTTGACAGCCTCTATGACTTACGGTTTTATTTAGAATAAGACTGAGAGTTTGGGTGACAATATGACTCATAGTTTAAGAGAGTGTATGACTGATGGTTTTAGTGAGAATAAGACTGAGAGTTTGGGTGACAATATGACTGTTGATTTGAGTGAGTGTATGACTGACAATTTGAGTGACAATATGACTTCGGTTTGACAGACACTATGAATTAGCATTTTAGTTAGAATAAGACTGACAATTTGAGTGACAATATGACTGACGGTTTGACACACACTATGAATTAGCTTTTTAGTTAGAATATGACTGACGGTTTGACAGCCTCTATGACTTACGGTTTTATTTAGAATAAGACTGAGAGTTTGGGTGACAATATGACTCATAGTTTAAGAGAGTGTATGACTGATGATTTTAGTGAGAATAAGACTGATAGTTTGGGTGACAATATGACTCATAGTTTAAGAGAGTGTATGACTGATGGTTTTAGTGAGAATAAGACTGAGAGTTTGGGTGACAATATGATTGTTGATTTGAGTGAGTGTATGACTTACAGTTTGACTGACAATATGACTGACGGCTTTAATTAGAATATTACTGGCAGTTTGAGTGACAATATGACTGACGGCTTTAATTAGAATATTACTGACAGTTTGAGTGACAATATGACTGTGGTTTGACAGACACTATGAATTAGCTTTTTAGTTAGGATAAGACTGATAGTTTGACTGACAATATGACTGTTGATTTGAGTGAGTGTATGACTGACCGTTTTAATGACAATATGACTGACGGTTTGAGTGACAATATGAATTACGGTTTTAGTGAGAATATAACTGAGAGTTTGGATGACAATATGACTGACGGTTTGACAGCCTCTATGACTTACGGTTTTATTTAGAATATGATTGAGAGTTTGGGTGACAATATGACTGTTGATTTGAGTGAGTGTATGACTGACAATTTGAGTGACAATATGACTGACGGTTTGACAGCCTCTATGACTTAAGGTTTTATTTAGAATATGACTGAGAGTTTGGGTGACAATATGACTGTTGATTTGAGTGAGTGTATGACTGACAATTTGAATGACAATATGACTTCGGTTTGACAGACACTATGAATTAGCATTTTAGTTAGAATAAGACTGACAATTTGAGTGACAATATGACTGACGGTTTGACACACACTATGAATTAGCTTTTTAGTTAGAATATGACTGACGGTTTGACAGACACTATGACTTACGGTTTTATTTAGAATATAACTGAGAGTTTGGGTGACAATATGACTCATAGTTTAAGAGAGTGTATGACTGATGGTTTTAGTGAGAATAAGACTGAGAGTTTGGGTGACAATATGACTGTTGATTTGAGTGAGTGAATGACTTACAGTTTGACTGACAATATGACTGACGGTTTGAGTGACAATATGACTGACGATTTGACTGACAATATGACTGACGGTTTTAGTGAGAATAAGACTGATAGTTTGGGTGACAATATGATTGTTGATTTGAGTGAGTGTATGACTTACAGTTTGACTGACAATATGACTGACGGCTTTAATTAGAATATTACTGACAGTTTGAGTGACAATATGACTGTGGTTTGACAGACACTATGAATTAGCTTTTTAGTTAGGATAAGACTGACAGTTTGACTGACAATATGACTGACGGTTTGACCGACAATATGACTGTGGTTTGACAGACACTATGAATTAGCTTTTTAGTTAGGATAAGACTGACAGTTTGACTGACAATATGACTGACGGTTTGACCGACAATATGACTGACGGTTTGACAGCCTCTATGACTTACGGTTTTATTTAGAATATGACTGAGAGTTTGGGTGACAATATGACTCATAGTTTAAGAGAGTGTATGACTGATGGTTTTAGTGAGAATAAGACTGATAGTTTGACTGACAACATGACTGACGTTTTGACTGACAATATGAGTGACGGCTTTAGTTAGAATATGACTTAGAGTTTAGCTGACAATTGGCTGACAGTTTGAGTGACAATATGACTGAGAGTTTGACTGACAATATGACTGACGGTTTGAGTGAGTGTATGAATGAGAATATAACTGACGTTTTGACTAACAATATGACTGACGGTTTGACATCGAAATTCATTCATATATATGTATTGATCAATGCAATCACCCTATTTAATATTATTATTTATCAATTAATTTTTCATTACTACATGCTCTCAATTATTATGACATTAATATTTATCAATAAATATTTCATTACTATATGCTCCCACCAAATTTGACATTATTGTTCTTTGACAAATTTTTCTTTATTAAAGACACTCTCACAAACTCATATCAATATATTTTAATTATCACCTATTCCAATCCATTTTCATATTCATATTCTTATTGAGTTAGAATAAATTGAGGATGACTGAGAATCAAATTAGAATTAGTGAGATTCAATTGAAGAATACTGGGAGTTAATTAAGGTTGTTTAAGAATAAATTGTGAATAAGTGACAATCAATTGAGGATGAGTGAGAATCATTTGATTATTAGTGAGATTCAACTGAACATCAGTGAGAATCAATTGAATAATACTAAGAAGAAATTGAGGAAGAGTGAGAATCACTTGATTCTTAGCGAGAATCAATTAAGGATGAGTAAGAATCAATTAATAAGTAGTGAGAATCAATTTAGGGTGACTGAGAATCAATTGATTCTTAGTGAGAATCTATTGATAATTAATGCGAATCAATTGATTATTTGTGAGAATCAATTGAAGATGAGTAAGAGTCAATTGAGGATGAATATGTGTCTATTCTGATATGACTTAGTATCTACTGAGGCTAGATGCTAACATCTTACTTTTATGATCATAATTTTTCAACTCCATTAATATTTATAACAATATTTTGATTACTATTTAAATAATTTTATCAAATGATAATTATTAACATATATTAAGAGTATGTTTAATTTTCAACATACTCTTAAAAATCCGAAATTTTAAAAAAGTGACAATTTTTTTAATGCTAAACCATCTTCATCTACCATTAAATGTTTCGGATGATTTGATTTTAATTCAGTTGGGTTCTATTAGATGTAATAGTGTAAATTCTGATTCAACAATTTATCCAGATATTATATTATTCTTCCAATAAACCCTATCAAAAAGAATGGTATACAAATAAAATAACTTATCAAGATGGTAAACCTAAATTCACTGTTTTGGATTCATTATCAAATGCATATGTCGGAGATTCACCATCATATCCTTGGGGACAAATCGTTTCAAAAATCAAAGAATTAAACAGAAATATTAAGAATGTATATAATTTTGGACATAAATTATTTGGATTTGAAAATAAATCTATCATTTGTTATTTGGAGGAACTCAAAGAGCGTTTTATCTCGAATAGCGATGAAGTAAAGTATCTTCAAACATATGAAACAACACCTAAATTTCAGAAATCCGCTGAAGCTTTTACAGAAATGGTAAATATGATTATAAGTGAAAAATATTTGCAAACAGATCTCAGTCAAATTAAAATCAAAATCCATCGTCTAGGGGAACAATATATTCTTAAATTTTTAGAAGCATTTATAATTGCCCGCCCCAAATTTTATGCACAGGTTATAGGTTTCTTACAAAATTTTTCATTTGACCAGGAATTATACTCAAAAGCAGGAATTTCTAAACCATTAATACAAGCAATAATTAATGGCGATAAAAGATATTCGAATATTTTTGCTTTTTCAGGAAAATCGTGTGATTTAACAATCGAAGATTTTATTAATGTTTTAATTTCAGATCAAACAAATCAAAATGGTGAAGAATATTATCAAATACGTATCAGATCTATATTGGATAATAGTAAATATTCTTTCTATGAACTAGCAGTTAAATTTGAATCAATTAATATTTTAAATTCGTGTAATATAGATAATGTTACACCAATCATGAAAGCATTGATAATGTCAAGCCCAAACGAAACAATTTTCAAAATGAATGATAAATTCAATTTGCAGACTTATCAATTTACAAACCAAATCAAGTATGTTTTATCTTTTGCATACAATATCTCAGAGTTTTTTTCTACATTTAGAAATCCATTACTCTCTTTGATTGTTTCAACAAATAATATTATATCAGTAATGAATTTGAATGAAAGCAAAGTTATTCGTTTAAAGATTCATTTAATCTTCCATGAGGCCCTGATTCAAAATAATGATTTTATGTACAAGAACTTTAATGTTTTGAATCAAATAAAAAACAATGACCTTCTGGAAACTTTAGCAAAAGCTTGTTTGAAAGCTGACAAAAAAATTCAAGCAGATTTTGAACAAATCATGGGTATTAAATTTACAGCGATCAAACAATTTCATGAATCCATAGAAAAAATTCCAGTTGATCGGTCTCCAATTACAATAGATGGTTGCCATATTTGTTTTGAATGCTCTAAAAATACTGATATTGAAAAACTCAAATCAATGCAATTAATTCTAATAAGCCCTGGTATTCATATCATTGTGTTAACTTATGAACAAACATTGAAGTTTTTGGAACAAATGCCAGCATTTATTCATTTGGGCCTTTCCAATATAAGTTCTGATCGATCTGTAAACTTATTTGAACAGAATCTGAGCCGGTGTTGAGAATTGCAGGCTCTGGCATAACTTCTGTTTCTGCAATAAACTGTCTCTCTGCTTCATAATTGACATCAACATTATTTGGGAGGTCAGTATCATCTTCAAAACGATCGCTTTGATAGCGTACAAATTGGGCTGCTTGGTCGGCCAAACCGTCATTTCTGGCAGATTGTACGGCCAAACTCTCGTTACTGGACAATTGTCCGGCCAAACTCGTATTACTGGACGATTGTCCGGCCAAATTATTATCGTTGACCGCGAGTGAGTAAACATTAATTTTGGCAAAGCTGCTCTGATTGTAATGAGGAACACCAGTAGTTTTGGAAATTACATCTGTAAATTTTCTTTTGAGTTCTGCTGATGTTAAATTCTTGATTTTTTGATGATTAAGGATTGCATTAGCTTTTTTCAAACAATCTTGCTCACAATGCATAAGATTGTATTTTGTCTTGATTAATTCGAGTGCTTCACACTTTTGACTGTTCTTCATTCTGTGAAACTCACGTCCAATATATGTGAATACAAAAAGCGCATATTGAATGTAACCATGTTTTGTTTAATACATCCTCTGATCCATCTGAGTTTTGAGGATATCATAGAACGGCTGCAAATCTTGATGCATTACTTCCTGTGTCGATATTAAGGCGGAAAGTGTATATGGGAATACTTGAGCGATCGTAATATTATCGCTTTCGAGTTTCTGTGAAAGAAGCTTGAAGGCTGTTAAGAAGGATACGAGAGAAGGAGCGTAAACAAAAAGCACTTTCACGATTCCTTCAATGTGTTCGTGAATTTCTGGAACTTCACGAACATCTGCAGAAACAAGGAAATCGACGATTGATTCGACATGGAAGACTATCCAAGATGCAATGTCATACAAATTTGTCCAACGAGTTAAACAAACTGTTGGGCATCCACCTCCAAGTCGTGATGCAACAGGCTTGCTCGAGAAGATTTTTGAAAACAATTCGACATTTTGGCAAAATTTGTCGAATTTTGGACAGAGTTTTCTTGCATCATTAAGACAAAGGTGAAATGTATGACATCCACATGGAATGGCAAGATGTTCTGGTGCATTTTCAAGGACTGATGCAAGTGCAGACCATTGGACTCTGAGATTGTCTGCTACGAAACCAGCAACATCAATCTGGTAAAATCTTATGAGAAAATCTGTGATGTGTGAAAGCGCATGTTCATACGCCACTTTAGTACCTGTAAAATTCGGGAATGTCTCTAATGGCATTGGCTTGAGCTGAGATGTTGCGCACATGATTGAACTCGTAAGATATGATCTTTTACCGAGTTTTCCGGCATCGATCGCAACACCCACTGATTCTTCCTTTTTAAACTCCTTTAGCCAAAGATCTTTGTGCATTTTGGCCACACAAATAAAACGTTCTTGGGAGGTGACTGTCCAAAACCGCGCTCATATTACTAGTTCCTATATGTTTACGTCCAAGGTGCATTGCCATAATTAGAACATTACGGAACAATTGATCATCCACCAAATCCATTGGTAAACTCCTTGAGGCAAAGGGGTACATAATTGCCAGTTCCATTGTATAGGGTGTCCAAAGGTGTGTTTAGCACAAACCTGAATACTGCGAATAGAAATAAACAAGTTACATATATATAAAGTTTATTTAAATATAATCACCATTGGATTCAATCACGCGTTCGCAGCGATCGATCCAGGCTTCAAAGACACGCTTTAAATCATCATGAGAAAATTGCTCAGATTGCTCTCTTACAAAATTTTCAAGATCATCTGGACTCGCGAATTCGCGTCCTTCAGCTCTCTTTTTTAGCGTGCCGAATAAATAAAAGTCAGAGGGTGCAATATCAGGTGAATAAATTGGGTTTGGAACAACTTTGACATTGTTTTCCACCAAGTAATTCATTACCTTATGACTTTTGTGAACTCTTGAATTATCAAAATGAATTGCAAACTTTTGTTTTTGTTGTTTGGATTTCTCAAACTCATCAGAATTGATAATTTGAGTAAGAACATTGTCAATTAGATACTGAGCATTCATCGTATTAGGTTTTTGAAGAATATCAATTGCGATGATGCCATTCACGCCCCAAAAAACCGACAACATCATCATTGGTGTGTCAATTTTTTTCTTCGGGAATGTTTGCGGATCTTCATCTTTCGGGATCCACATGATTTTGGCTTCTGTTGCATATTGAAACCAAGACTCATCCCCTGTTACTAAAAAGCGAAACTTCTTGGATTGATACGCACGCAATATAGAGAGGAGCTCTTTCGAAGATTGGACTCTAGATTTTTTTGAACTGAATTAAGGTTGTGCGGAACCCAACGTGTATACGCTAGTTTGTAGTTCAAATAATTGTGCAGATAATAACTGACTGTTGTACGTGGTATCTTTGTCATCTCCTCTATCCTTCTGAGTGATGCTCTTGGGTCTTCATCTAGCGCTTGAAGAATTGCTTTGATTTTTCTTTGATCCGGCGATTTTTTGTCAATTTTTATGATGGGCGCCTTTTTGTTCATGAAGTGATACATCCTAACATGATACGTTACAGTGGAATAGCTAGGAGCATCCATACCGAAGCATTTTACCAATGTCTCGTAGATTTTTTTACAGTCTTTGCATTTTTTTGCAAGAGCGAGGATGTTTTCTTTCTGATTCATTAAAAAAATGAAAAAAATCCCGCCAAAATTTCCCGCGAAACCGCCTCTTGTCTCAAAATTCATTTTATATCCCGGCATGGCGCCAAAATACAACATACTCATCATATACATATATTCATATTTTTTATTATATATTTATAATCAGCATATATCTCCTTTAATAGTCTCATATAGAGCGCTGTGCTAAACGCACCTTTGGACACCCTAAGTTAGTATACAAGTCTTGGGTATGGTGGCACTGCGTTCCACCTTACCCAGTACTTGTGAATTTGACACTTTACAAAACCGTTAACGTATATTTTACAACATGAACGCAAAAACTAACTTAACCTTAAATATTTACAAAACCGCCAACAATTTCACCTCATTATCGTTCTCACTAACAACTTCACTAATGTTCTCATAAATTTTCCTCAATATCTTCATCATCAGTGTTAACCCTATTGTAGTCATACTTGAAGCCATAAACTTTCTCTAACTTCTTAACGTACAATTTACATAACTTACCTTCGTCATCGTATGGTTTAATGATATAACTATTTCTATCTTTATAAACAGTCAATGAAAAGTCAACTGGTCTCGGATGTATTTGAAAGAACATGTTATGCTCAGGAAGGAAAAATAAATGTTTAAATATATGTTTGTTATATGTTTTGATTTGTATGAGTTGCTTTTGTTCTGTCATTACATCCAAATAATTTTAAAAAATAAAATAAAAAATAAATGATATCACCACCCTCACACGTATGAAAACATAGCACAAAAATAAATTTAGGTGAAATGGTGAGATCTCACCTCTTTTTTCACCTGTTTTTTCACCCTGTTGAATTCATTGCTTTATAACTCTCTTCCTTTCTCCAACTCTTCTAACTTCTTCTTAAGTTCAGCAATGTTGTCCTCATGAAGTTTAATCTTTCTCAAAATTCCTTCTTTATCTAATGGTTGCTTTATCTTTCTAAACTGAACTCTACCATCCTTCATAGTATGAATGTAAAAACCTTCTGGAATAATTCCTGATTTAATGTATTCTACCAAAAACTTTTGTTTCATTGCTTCAGTGACTTTAGTCGTCATTTCAATCAAATAAAAATTTTAATATTAAATAAAAATAACGTTATTTTTTCAGTAAAGAAACGCAGGAGTTTTACGATTTATTTGTGGTGTAGGTTCTGGTTTAAATGTTGGAGTCGGTTTTGGAGTTGACTTTTGAACAGGAGTTTGTAATTCCATAGGTTCAGGAGTCATTGAAGGTGTTGTTTGTGAAGGCGTTGGTTTTGGCGATGGTGTCGGAGTTTGTTTAACTTCAGCTACTTCAGTATTATTTACAACATTTGCTTTATTTCTTTTCAACATCATTACTGCTCCTGCTGTAGCTAGCAAACCTAGTGGGAGACCATATTTTATATAAGGACTTGACCAAATGCTATTTTTGACAGGAGCTGGTGGAACACCTAACCTTGGTGAGACTGCTCTTTGCCATTGTGCAGCTCGTAAGAAATATTCAATAGGTGCTCCATAATCGTTTGGTAAAGTTTGTTTCATAGATGGTGAAGGTTCACGAGAGCTTGATGAAGAACTCATTTATAAGCTTTAAAAATAAACGTTCATCCTTTATTCCTCACTGTCGTCAGTTGCTAAGTTATAGTCGTCAAGTCTTATTATTGGGATTCCATTAGCACGCACCTGAATGGCAAAGCAACAATCCCTCATAAATCCAATAAGTGGCTTTGGTACGTTTTCAGTTGCTAGTTCAATAGGTCCTTTAACAGACAATTTGTATGTTATTGGAGCAGTAGATGTTTGACCTTGCTGGAAGCAAAAGTCCACTTCTGTTGGAAAACCACATAAGAAATGTGTGTTGTCATAGCTATCCCATTTATGTTCCACACTACCATCATCCACCAATGACCTCATAACATCTTCATTAAATCCAATCATATCATTGTTTGTATTGCAAGCGTTCGCAACCATTTCATAAAATACAGGTCCATATGATTTTTCAGGTTCTGCAGGCATATTTCCATAAGCTCCCATGGAAAGCTGAAGATATTTAAACTTAGGGTTCTCAAAATTAACATAATAGTTGTCTTTCTTTCTAAATAGTGCCCAAATACTTTTAACATTAATAGGCGTATAAGCTGCTGTAAATGTTGCACTTGAACTATCTGTATTCTTTGAGAATGAACCGTCCATAGGAATCCAATCCATAACTTTAACAGGAAAACATAAAGCCTCGTTTGTATAATGTTCTACAAGTTCTGTATAAATGTTAGGGTCTAAAGAGAATGACTTTGGATGAATGAAACATTCATTAAAATCCATCTTTGTTCGAAATAGTTGCTGGGTTACAGTTGTAATAGTAACTGTTCCACTAGCTTCTATTGCCTTCGTTATCATAGTGAATGGTTCATTCCATGGAACAAATTTATTTGTCGGTGGATTTGAATCTGAAGCAAATGCAACTTTAAGAGTTGGATTGAAAGCAATGATATCATTTACAGATATAGATGTGCATTGTAATGCGTCGCTACTGAACTTTACTTTAAGCTGAATGTTACCAGCAAATGCAGGAATAAATCTTATAGCTTCTAATGGTAAAAACTTTCTAACAGGAATTCTTAAACGAAGCTTAAAATCAAATGATTTTCCTGCTGTAATTGGACCACTAACAATTTGTCCTGTTCTGCATGTTCCCGAACGACTCCATACATCTTCATGTCGAGTCTTTGAGAAAACATCTACTTTCTTTATTTGTTCGGTAGTTTGTGAGTTTGAAGTTATATATGCTTCTTCTCGTGCGTTGTCTTGAGAATATACGATACGACCATTTGCAAGGATTTGATATCCAGCAACTGCATAGAAAGCGTCATCGAAACCAATCCAAAATCCTGGTGAGTTTGTTTTATTGGAACCTGAACCAATTTCTTTATCTGCAATAAATTGACCTTCCATTTTATACGTAATGAATGTATTGTAAAGGTCCAACATATTTTCACCAGGAGGTGAGAGATTGAATGTTACCCATGTGTTATCTTTAGCAGTTCCAGGTTGTGATGGAATCTTTGCGTCAGAATATTTTCTATTAGTGTCACCAATTTGAACTGCATTGTCTATGATATCGAAATATGAGCGAATCTGATGAATATGCTCTGCTGGAGTAAATTCGTTTAACTGTTCGTTCTGCATGTATTTACTTCGGATAAAAATATCTATTTACTTCATTATTCTCACTCTTCTTCTTGGCATTCGTGGTGGAAGTTGTTTCTTGACATTTTCAATGAACTGTACATTCTCTTTTGTCTCAACTTCTTTCACTGGTGGGTCAGGGTTCTTTGACTCGGTTTGCTTTTCAATGAAATTCACGAACTTTGCAATAAGCTCTTGGTTCGTTATTGAAAGAACATCTGGCTTCTTTTCTTCTTGTTTTATTGACTTTTCAGTTTGAATAGAAGGTTTTATATGGGCTTCACCCTCGGTGCCATGCACCTTAATGTTGTCGCTCTCTGCATTCGCTAATGGAACCTTTCTTTTTCTTACGTATATTTTACCATCTTTACTCTGACTTACATAATAGAAAGGATGTTGTATTCCTCTTGCGTCATTTAATATAATAGACTCTCGCTCTGATTTTGACAAGCTCATTTTACATCGGTTAAAGTTTTAATTTTGTTTTTTTATCTGCAGTCAAATGACTCAGACAAGTCATATGGACAAGA